ACCAGTCAATTTTTGCAAAGTTTGCTTTAATTAAAAATACCATAGGCCTTCAGAGTTAGGTAGGTTCTCTGTAGGTTTCCCACTAGGGTCAACACATTTTACATTATACGCTTTCATAACTGACTCAACATTAATACTCAAAATTTATGTATCTTTAAAGGAAGCTATTTTGAAATTCAGCACATCTAAAAAAAATCCTGTAGCAATGTGAAAGCCAAAAACCAGTCAGCACATAAGATCTTATTATGCAATGTGCACAAGGAGGTTCAAATTCAGGGTCGGCCTGCAGGCTGGGGGTTACTAAAAGGTGAGACGCACTGCGACTTCAAAGAAAAAGGTTATCAGACACAGTCTTTTAAACTTCAAAGAAACATACGTCTGCAACATGAGTTAGTCTGTAGAGATATAGGCCTAGTGTTATGTGCATCTTTGCACAATCCTCATGTAGTACTGGGGCTCAATACTTATCTCTCTATTCTCTTGTGAAAGTAGGCTCTTCGCAGTGTCTGAGCCTGCCAATCACTTGTTAAAGCCAGCACACCAGCAGCACCGGGATTTAAACCAGCGGAGATATCCATGTGTGAGTGATCATGCACTTGATTTTTTTCCCCCACAGCTGGACCCAAAAAGAGCTCCTGCAGCTCCAAGCTGTGTTTTTGTTCTGTGCTGCCTTTGCAGCACAGAACAGGAAACAGAAGTATTGTGTTCAAACCATGATATAATAAAGCCATCTCCTTAACTCTTCTGTTCAACTAATTGCAGTATTTTCTACCAGACAGCCTTTGGTGAGGGAGAAGAACACTGTCACCATACTGTACAACACTGACTATGTCAGCCTTAGAAGTATCCCAAACATTTCAAGCAGTATGGGAGCTAATGCACCCTGATCCAGTTCTCAGACACAATGAGCCTGACATCTCATTCATTACCAAAGCATCTACACTTATTATTTTTTCATGCTATTTCATTTCATCACATTGAAGCCTTTCTTTAGTTTCTCCCAGAGGGGAAAACACACACACTGTGTTTCTCTGTTTTAATCTCATGTTCTAGATTTAACTATGAAAATATCAGACACAGTTAAACATTTTCATCAACAAGATGGTTCCCATTGTTAAATAATAACTTCAGTTTTTTTAACCTGCTACATTTCCTCTAAAAGTGGGTATGGGGACTCTATAGCAAGTGAGCAGGTTAAAAAAAAAACTGTTATTCTGTAAAGCAGTCTTGAATACACTGAAGGACGTTAGGATAAAAGCTTTATAGCATAAAATAATCATAATAGAGGAGTCTCTACTATTTATGAATACCTATGATTCAAGCATGTGATGAGACATCTGGCTCTAAGTCCTCAATTTCAGCAACTGGAATTAATGCTGATGTCCTTTATTTCCTGATATGCACCATTATCAGATCTCTTTGCCAGTCTAACTGCATCCCCTGAACCCCTGCAGATATTATTTCCATACAGTATGCAGCCCTGATATCATCTGTCACTGAGCCTAAAATAAGCACAAGTTTTTTTTCAGTTATTTGGAGGGGAACTTATTGGCTTGTTTAGAGGGGAGAACTGGAGAGCAATTTGGGGGTTGGGACCAAAGTAGCAGTCAAAACACCTATTAATACACTGCTAGCTGCCTGGTGAGAGCAAACTGTTCCAGTCAAAGACACACCGGGACACTGGTGGGGTGGAAGTGAAAGTTTCCCACGGACAAATGCATGGTCAGGCTGTAGAGCCCAGGAATGATTCTGAGCCATTCAAAAGTCAAGTAAGCAGCAGGTTTGAGATTGATGTCTTGGGTATGGGAATTACAAATTGGCAACTCTAAGCGAGGGGGCAAAAGGGTATTCCTGTAGGCACTCCCCTCAAATGGAGCTAAGTATAGACAGAAACATAAAACAAACATGGAAACAGCCTCAGCTGGTGAAGACAAACTGCCTTGGAAATTTTGCTAAGGCAAATATAAGGTGGATGTGGGTTTCAGAATAATATTAGTTAGTGTCCCTCTATACAGAGTGACAATTAAGGAATAAATTTAAACAGTTAAATGTGATGTGCACAATCATTATAATGCAATAATATGATATAGAGGAATGTGAAATGCATCATTCTGTGTAATGAGTACTTTTTCTTTTAGTACTTTAAGTATGCTTTGATGGTAATACTTTTGTACTTTTATTTAATTAACATTTTGAATACAGGACTTTTACTTGTAACAGAATATTTTTACACTGTTGTATTGCCACTTTTACTTAGATCAGAGTACTAAGAGTATATGTATATAACAGATCAGGCACAACAAGCAACAAGTAGCTCCTGCAAGTCTGTAGGGATTACTGGTGATTGTTAATGTGCATGTAAATGTGAATGAAAATCACCAAGGAGAAATGCAAATTCTTATAGATAATAACAAAGTACCCGTCAGCACATCCAAAGTGCTGCGAAAAGGTTCAGGGTAGATCTATACCACCCTGCATTGTTTCACTCTGTGTTGGTGCTCTGGAAATTTGGGCAGAATGTCAAATAATAGTAAACGGTACAGTTGGATAAGGATAATCACCTTTATTGGCCAAGTATGTTACACACAAGGAATTTGTTTCTGGTACAGAACCGATGGCAGCCATCTGCAGCGCCACCTCAACCAATGGCTCTAACCATCGGGGGCAACAGGGGGGTTCAGTGTCTTGCCTAAGGACGCTTCGACACATGGACATTCAAACCTTCAACCTTCTGGTTGGGAGACAACTGCTCTACCACTGCACTACTGTTGCCTCCCTGGTGGAGTTCATCTCACTTCTTTAATTTGCCCTGGCTTTGTTAGTTTATGAAACTGCAGTATGTGTTTCAGAAAGACATGTTTCATACTTCACCAAGGATAGATATTAGCTTCCCATATTAGCTTCTCTCCACTGGCTCCCTGTGAAAAATTCAGAATAAAATTTAAAATCCTTCTCCTAACATATAAAGCCCTTAATGACAAGGCTCCATCGTATCTTAAAGACCTCATAGAGCCTTATCATCCTAACAGAGCACTTCACTCTCAGAGTGCAGGTTTACTCGTAGTCCCTAGAGTCTACAGAAGCAGAATGGGAGGCAGAGCCTTTAGCTATCAAGCTCCTCTCCTATGGAACCAACTCCCAGTCTCAGTTCGGGAGGCGGACACCCTCTCTACCTTTAAGATTAGACTTAAGACGTTCCTTTTTGATAAAGCTTATAGTTAGGGCTGCTCTCCTCTCCTCTCCTCTCTCTCCCTATGCTTCTATATGCCACCATTACACATCACTAACTTTGTGTCTCCTCTCTCCCGTAGTGTGTCCTCTCTCTCTCCCTGTACCTTTCTGCAGGTTGCCCTGGCCCTGGAGCTCTATGTCTCTGACAAGCAGTCACCAGCCACATCGACCTGACCAGTGTTTCATTGTTTGTTGTGTCTGTGAAATTTGATTTGATTTGATTTGATTCCTTCAGTCAGCTCAATAATTAATACTTGTGCAGAAGCGTGATCCAAGTACAGAGGTACTGCACTGCAGTTTACATAAAGACTAAAATAATCCAACATTACAGTACATCTGCTTTAAAAAGTTGCAGTGTTAAGCTGTTTTCACACATGAACTCTGGACTATGTCCATGCAATGATGCCACTTTGTCCAGAGTTACCCTTTCAGACATGCAGAACGCAACAGGAGACAGTCTGTATCAGACGTGCTCTCAACTACTGGAAATACTCTGTTTGGTTTATACATGGGGGGCTCATCTGGGTAGAGTGCTCAGGAGACGGGACATGATGCAGTCATGTATCCAGTTTGTAATTTGATCATAAACAATCCAGTCTCTTGCCTTATCTGATGATCCTGGTGCCAGTTTTTAACAACATAAGTTTGCAAAACATGTTCTGTCTCCAGTTAAATATTTCATTTCGATTTCATTGTCAGTGACCAATTTTCTTTACCACTGGATGTTTGTATTCTTACGGTTTTGCGCTAGTCACATGATAGAACGTCATCAACACACCCATGAGCTCCATATGACTACTCCAGACTACACACTGCTGTTTTCTCACATGGGCTCACTCCGGCTCACTTGGACCTTATGCAGAGTTTGTACTGGGAAGCTGGCAGAGTAAAGTCCACATAAAGTCTGAGCCAGCTGACTTGGACATTTGCGTTCTCACATACCGCTTCCCTGGGTAATGACTGGATGATTTCAGGGTTCCAGTGCATGTCTGAAAGGTTACTTTAGAAGCTGATTAGAGCCTGAGTGAGTCTCAGAGTTTTTAGTAATAACAGGAAACACTGAGCTCCCACTGTGAACTGTCACATATCATTCACTTTGAACACTGATCCCAGGAAGACTAACAAGGACTGCTGTGGAAGCTAATGGATCCATATTAATAAATAAACAAATTGCACAGAGTTACTGTAGGCTGCCCTATGTTGACCTCCAGCAAGACTCATCAGCCATCTGCTGTGCTTCATCATAGTAGAGACAATCGCAGTAACACTCATTCAATTCTACTTCTGTTTCCATATCTATTCATGTGCTACTTAGAATTGCAATAGTAGAAGCAGGCTGCAAGCCAGCCTGGGGTGTGACCTTCCTACAACCTGCATTCATCCTCAGTGGTATACTTTACAACGCCATATAGGGAAAAACCCCACAGAGATACTGTATTATATAATAATTTAAGGTATATATGAGGCCATTGGCAGTTTTCCTACAGTGATCTTATTATGCTTTATTGTGATAAAAGACTGTCACATAATATTTTTATTGGGTCTTAAAGAATGTTAAAATATTGGACTGTTAGTTTCCACAGTATTCCTAAAGTCACTTAACTTTTCATGTGTATTGCATTGCTTTTGTTTTCATAAGGATAAAACAGCATTACATCCAGAGTTGCATGGGCACATTTGGCACAGCCACATTCAAGTCAAGCCTCATTACACCACTGCAGTAAGTTATGCCTGAACGGGTATAAATGAAAAACAGACTTATGGCTTACCTTTTGTTTGAATGAGCTGTCAAACTGATTTTTCCTCCAAATATTCCCATGCTTGCATGATTCGAGCAGAGAAATGTCTCATTCTTCCCTCCTGTCAAGGCTGACCAACCCGACCACACAGCTACAGCAGTAAAGCTGGGCGCAATACCAAAATACATACTTTCCTATTTACACTTTCAAAATAAAACCATGGGTAAGTGCTATGACATTTGTTTGTTTTGATAAATAACCACTATCTTACAGTTATGTTTGATGTTTGTGATCATTTCCATTTCAAGTTTTAAATTTTAGCAGAGTGACGAAGAAATTTTTCAAGTTCCAAAATCTATCTACACCAACTGTCTATTCAATTTTCTAATCAAAGCATTTTTGAAAGAGCCAGGCTGTGGCTCACAACAGCTGAAAACTATGAGGGCATAATTATCTAAAATCTATTTCTGTTGTAATATTTTATAAATTATACTACAACACACAGGAAATGGTTCATTATTATTTAGCTAAGAAAATTGTCAATTGAACACAGCGACTGATTTACACTGGAGTCTGCAGCAGCCACCTCTAAGTACAACACAACAATGCCATCTGCTGTTTATAGGCTATAGTTGTTTGGTGGTCGCTGCTTGTATCATCACTTCAGCTATTTCATTCACTGAAAGCTTAAAAACAAATAAATGTAAGGAACCTAATTCTAAGTGCGTTTTTTTGGAGTCAAAAACAGAAACTTTCCGTGTTTTTCCTGTTTCGTCTATAAATAAATAATTTAAAAAAACAACAAAAACAAACAAACCACGAAATAAAAAACTAACCGATTAAAAAAATGGTAGCCTATTTCCTTATTCTGTTTTATAGCCCTGCTGTTTCTCTCCAGTACGCATGCGCTTCTATGAACTGATGAACTGCAGTGTGCACATACTGATCAGGAACATACAGAGGAAAGGGGAAAATAGGCAATAAAACAATGAATGTTTATTGTTATTTCTAAGAAACATGTCCCTATCAATATTTCTTGAAGACAGAGATGTCCCTACCAATATTTGAGCGAACCCCTGCGCATTATCTTTGGAGTTTCAAAGATGTGAAAAAACGCAGTTCTCTCTTTTAATGCGCGCTCCCGGAAAGTGCGGTCACTTTCCGCGCATGTGTTAAGTGAACAGCCCAATTGTTTTATTTTACTTTTTAATCGGATTTCCTACATTTAGCTGTGCACAGTACACAGTTTTCATCAATATTCGATTCCAATCGTATTTAAAAATCTTGTGTCTACTCAAGTGCTCAAGCTTAGCTTGCATTTATTTTGTTCACTCAACCAAGAGAAAGGATAAGGAAATGTCACAGAAATAACTTTTCTGCAAGGTCTTTTTTGTACCAATTTAATAAGTTAATATGTTTTAGTAGCGCAAATCTGCAATGATATTATGTTGACAGCAGCCATTGGTCCGTCGTCCTGCTCTGGTCCAATCACAGCGCGATGGGGGAAGTAGTGTGCGCCCCACCTTGTTTCGGTCATGTGATGTCAGCCTACGAAGATGGTGGAAGTTTCTTCTTCCTTGAAGTGAAGCCCCGACTGAAACCCAAACATCTTATAGATTGAGGACCCGGAGTTGACTTTAGTGTTACCAGTTTGGTTTTACAGTCTCCCTTCATGTCCGGGTAAGTGATAGAAGCCGATTACTAAGCCTCTCAACAGTGGCATTTTTCTTTTTTCAATGCACTTTATGGTTTCCAGCCAGCCATGATGATGACACGAGCTTGTTGGTTAGCAGTTAGCCTGGCTGGTATGGCCTGCAGGCTGTCAGAACTGATATTCAACATGTAACAGTTACTCACCAACTAATGTGACCATACCACCAGTGTAAATATACATACGGTATAGCTTCATTGCTGTTTATTAGCTAATGAGGACATCCTGTCCTGCATTGAACGGATAACTAAATTAGCGGTAGCTCTAATATTCTTTCCTAGACAGATCCTTAGACTGTTAGATCAAATTATGTAATCATTGCCAGCGTTTTTACCTTAACTCGCTAGAAAGGAAAAGAACATTTTATTTATTATTAATAGACATGCTGACTAACAGTTGGGATTGAAGTGGTTAGTGTTGAGTGTTGTTTTTTCTTAGCTGCCTGTTCTGATATGGAGAGAACAGCGCACCAAACTCCATTTAATATCTACTACGATAGGCTGGCGCTCTTCGGTAAACTTAAGCCTACATGTACCGCGCACCATGACATAGTTTTGGACAACATTGGCAACCACTCCTCAAAACCGGAACCAAATTTAAATTAAAGTACTGAACCACAGTGGTCGAATATCCAGCAAACAGCTGTCAAACTTCATTAATGAGCTTATTTCCTATCAGAATCCTGACTGCTTTACTTCCTCGGGTCATTCTAGGTCGGAGAAACAGTTGAGTAAAAAAGGGAAGGAAAGAGACTTTTTTTTAAAGCCACTTTTATTAGTCATAGGTAAGGTCAGTTTTGTTAGTGTGTGTCTCTACAGGCAGTATTAAATGTTTCGCCATCTTGTCATTTTGACTATCAGGCAGGCTGGCTGCTATTTTCTTGAGTGGGCTGAGTCTTATGACTGTTAACAATCCATCACAATGTCCTTTGTATGATCACCTGGCTTGAATGACATAAGGCATGTCTGACGTTCATTGGTGATGATGTTTGTGTTTATATTCATGACATGTAGCCTTCATTGTTGTGGTCAAATATCAAAAACAACCCATAAGTTATCTGGATGGATTCAGACACTTTGTTATTCAGTTAAAGGTAAACACTGATTAATATGAAATGGACACAGGGGCTCTTGGTTGTTGTTTCCACACAGCATCGTAATGGAGGAACCTGTTTGCCCTTTTGCCCTGCAGTCATACTAAGCAGATCATCATGAAAGTATGTTTTGCGGTATGCAACACTGTTCTGTACACATGGTGTAAGCAGTGTACGTCTGGACTCATTGTCCAGACAGCACTAGTTCAGCCTGCAGTTGAGGTCGCCTATACAAGTTTTAGAGATTTTGCCGATCTTATATTCAGAGCTCAGTAGCCAAGGACATGGAACAGGTTGAGTTCAAATTCAGTTTCGAATGACTCACAGACACAATAAACACAATTTACTGGCCTGTGGATGATGTTCTTTAGCTGGCTAAAACATCTGAGCCGAGGCAGTTCATTGTAGAGCTTAATATTCTGCAAATACTCTAATCTACAAAACACAATCAGCCTGCTCCCGCAGCTGCAAAGTCAGCAGTTGCAATGAATTATTGACAGAGACTAAAGCAGCAGCCAAAGTGAAAGTTTACCCAGGAGCTACCTACTTTCTCCTGCTTGGCCGTGTGCATACTGGGCCAGGTAGACTGAGGAATGTGCATTATTCATAGCATCAAGGTAACGGACCAGATTCTGGGAATATCACGGGACCTGAATGCTGTGCCAATTTTTCCCTTTCCTTTCTCCTTGCCTGTGATTAACACATTTGTCAGTGGTCCACCATAGTCATTAGCATTTCTTATTGGAATTCATATCTGTTGACAAACAGTCAAACAAATATTACATGACCAGTTTATAGATTTTAAATGGAAAATTATCTCCAAAACTAGGGCAGTACTGTTGTAGTGTGTGTGTCTTGTAAAAATATTTCCATTAGAGCTCCAGTGGAACTTAAAATAATTTTCCAGTGATTAAGACTGAAACTATAAACACCAGGTCTTGGTGATGGTCCTTGAAGGCTCCTTTCTATAGCTGCCAGTTTCCGATGTTTCTAAAACTGTGCAAGAATAAATCTGTGACAGAAGAGACAAAGATGCGTTTTTTTCATGCGTTTGATCTTCAGTATTATGTAGCGAATAAGTGCACCTAGTGGCTAAGTTGTGGTCTTTTTTTAATGTGATTGATAAGGCATCCCGGGAAAGGTTGGAAACGAGTGATTGAAGTAGAAGTTGATTGGGAAATACCAGTCTTAGATGAAAATGACACAAGACAGTGGATGTTTGTATCATTGTTTCAGTCTTGGGTTTCAGAATGCCAGTTAGAATGCTGGAAAAAAATGGGTTTCAAAAGATTAATGAAAGAGTTTGACTCTGGGCTTAAAGCCCCAGGAGGGAAACATTTTTCAAAGACAGTGCTGCCTCAGTTTGATCTAGAATGCAAGGGAAAAGGTGAAGATAAGCTTTACACACTTTGCATATGGAATCTGGATGCACAGCAGAGCCTATTATGACCTGAATGTTAGGCCATGTTGGCAGTGGAGAGTATAATTATTGATTCAGAAATTGTATAGAACCATAACAATCTTTGTGATCTATGTCATTTCAATCAGAAACCCTAAATCCTAAATATACTCCTTGAAATTCAAATTAAAAGGTACCCTATGGAATTTACCTGCATACATTTACATTCAGTTCTAATGATCCAGATGAGTATTACTACATTAGGCTCCATGACATTCAATTGTAAGATGCTTTTAATCAGATTGACCACCAGTAAGTCAATTAAACCTTCAAACGAAACAGCGGTATGGTATAACAAATCATAAATGCAGCTGGTATTTCACAGAGTTGAAGGCTGCATTCTGGGGCATCACTTATTTGTGCTTGACCTGGCGGAGGCTCAGAAATTTACTCTGTTTTTCTTGTACTCTGAATGCAGTCAGGAAAACACTGCTGAGTTTTGCGGCGTAAAACCACTTTATGCTTCAAGTGGAAACAGATGAAAGTTTGCACATGAGTCACATGATATGAATACACGCAAAACAAGTACACATGTGGGAAGTGCACAGGAGGTAATTCAGAGGCAACATAAAGACCATAACCATGTCATTTGTTTTGGTGGTTTTGTTGGTCATGATTTGCTTTAGCACTCTTGCCTGAAGTCTATCAGCTTTCAGTAGTGAGTGACTGATTGTCATGCAGTCTGTTGTGTTTCTGAATGTTGAGCAATACCTAATGGAAAAGTAATGGTGGTTAGAATAAATATTGCTTAAAGCAACGATAACTTTTATTTCTTTATTTTAAGCAATTTCAATCTTTAGGGTGTGGTTGGTAAAACATACAGTCCATAGTCACTGAGTACTAGGGTTGTTTTTTTTTAAACTTGTTACTAGTAACAAGTGTATTTTTGCAAGTTGTTCATATTAGTCTATATATATGTTATCTCAATCAGGGGAATTTGGCTAACATTTCCAGGAAGTCCAGTCACTCAACGTCCTTCTGATTCAAGGTCTAGACGAATACACATAAAACTGTATAAAGGTTTGGAAAAAAAAATTTCCTAGTTTATGCAGACACATTTAAAGTTGTAAAAATATTCT